TTTCAATGGAAACGAAAAGAATGTAGATGACGATAAAAAGTCCAGCGAAACTCGGACCCCGTGGGACGTCACACGAGCAGCTGCAGCCATAAATCGATTGTTAATATTTGGTTTCGATGTTCACGTTTAGATTACGGGAAAACAGGGACTGGATCGTTTACTGGCGATTATCGAGGCTATGAGTGAAAGCAGCGAAGACTCAGACTTGGAACCGGATGAGGAAGATAAAGGTACGCAATACCATTCCTTGTTGGTCATTGAGAGGTCTTGTTCAAATATTCACCTTTTATCAGTGGTGTGATCCTTGCTCCTCATCCTTTAACCGAGTTTCATTGCTCTGCCTCGCTCGTCCCCAAAATCGATTAGATCTGGACAGCCTTTTTATAGTTTCATATTTTCTCGAAAGCAGAATTTCATTTTAGAGGCAATATGGCAAGCATTCAGCTCATGTGGTATCCCGCCGCAAACATCTGAAACTACCTCCTCGTCATCAGTCTCTAAAGAAAGGGAATGTGAAGCAACTGTCTCTGTTGATGTGACTATTGTGAAAAACGAACGGAAGCCTGATCAGTGGTTCTCTGGATTGCTTGACAATAAGGTTAATTTGACGTTTTAGTGGCATCAGAAAAAAAAAGATTAATCAGCTTCTCTCTTCAGGCGAAGGGTGTTTCTGACTGTGACATACCGGAGTCTACGGATTTCAATTTCTTCCAAGCAATAAAAGACGTGAGTTTTTTTTATTCTCTCAAGTATAGCAATCTACGCCACATATCTGAAGTGGAGCGTCAGAAGAGAATGGTTTCCACACACGACCATAAACCTTCGTCGGGGGGGGGGGTGCAGCCACCAATAATGGCAGTTATACAGCCCGCAAATGGGCTGCAGTTTGCAGATCGTGTGGGACATTGCAGCACACATTCGGGCCGTGACTACTGAGTCCTTCTTTATTTACTATTTTTCCTCGTTTTCAGCTTCTTTTGATGGGGCAGGCACAAGGGTTATACAGCAATTTTTATTCCCTTATTCCATAATAGCCTATTCAGTAAACGTAACACTTGTGGGTCCCATTGGAAAGTAGCAGCATTGATCTGTGCATCATTTCATATCTGTAAAAAAAACCGCGACTTCACGCAGTTGTTGGGTACTGTGCTGTCGCTTGTTTTCTTTTCTTTTCATCTTTTCATCTCTAAAAGATTCACAGTAAGACGCTTGTCGCGTGCTTGAATATGCTAAAGAACAGTTCCAAATTGCAGACCCGTGACGCTAACATGAAGTTACTCGATCCAGCAAAACGTGCTGACAACGCGGCTGCACTTCTTTCCAAAATTGTCGATCTCAATATGGAGGACAAGGACGAAGCTCGCGATAAGAAAAATCAATAGGTGCTGCCGAAGCTGTTTACTCAGTATTTATTCAAATCGATTTGTTCTTATTTGCAGTTTGCATAGTTGTTTCGTCAATCGGGTATATATGAAGCGCAAAAATATATTCATAAAGTATTCAAATTAATGTACAATCACTCGGGATAGTTAGGACCATATTCGAACAAAAAATGTAAAGTAGATGTGCTAACCCTGTGATTACTATGAAATGTTGCGTGATTAGTTGATAACTAATAGCGTGAACCAGTCTCATTAATATCTCGAATTGAACAGGTGTTTTTCAAACATCATCATACAACGAATGAATGGAATATCAGGGAAGACAGCTAAAGATACCCATCACATAAACGTAAACCTATAATCGCACACAATTTCGTACAGAGGCTTTCAGTCGATTCTGATATCTGGAATATCACAAAAAATTAAGATTTTAAAAGTAGTATACTCAAACAGGCAGCAAAGCTTATACATCATACAATAGGTAGAGCAGAGCCATACATATCGTATGATTCAGAGTATGAACGAAAATGACTGAGAATACAGAGTATAAAAAGGCGCATCTTGATAGTTAATACAAAGTTGCGTTGTCACATCTGAGTAGATGCTGAAGAAGACATGAGGGAAAAGCATTCGGTGCACTCATAAAACATCTAGTTGGATAGCCTTCATGATTCAATCATCGCCGGGATGCTCTGGGCAACAATTCTTTCTTTTAAACCAATCATCGATACATCTAAAAAAACATAATGATCAGCAACTTGTCTTCTCAAAAAGCTCGGTCACAGTGTATGTGGAAAATGGAAAGCAGATAAGACTCACTGTTTATGATATATGCAAAGGCAAGGCAAGCGAGCAATCACGGCTCCAGTAAGCATTTCTTCAAGGCAAATTGAACATTCGCCCTTATCTTCGGTGAGAACATCGTCTGAAACATGTCAAATCATATACGCTCTCCATTGCGAGATATATAACGCTGAAAATTGCAAAGAAGTAAGGTTCAATACAAGTCCAAAACGAAAAAGAGAAAAGTGGGAAGCTTCATAAGAAGTTCATTAGGAAAGGAGTATTCGCGCGCGACGATTCTTCTTTGCTGTGCCATGCATCCGACCTTCAGGTTATAACGATGGCGCACCTTGAGTGCATGATAAATAAAGAGGTAAATCGCGCGTCATCGTTATAACTTGAAGGTCGGGTGCATAGCACAGCAAAAA